ATATATAGATATATATAGATATATATAGATATATATCTCCATGCAACATATTGATCATTTTTGACATTTTTTCCCTGTATCACTTCCCTCTTTTCTCCTTACTTTTCTCATGTTTCCAATCTCCAACAAGTCAGCCTTCTGTTCTCTATCCTTTTTTCCTTAATTTTATTCCCTAATTTATATTTTGGGATCTCATATAAAAGGAAAAAATGATAATTCACTTTCTCTGTCTGAATTGTTTCATTTAACATTATGAGATGGAGTCCCATCTCCTTTTTCTTATTTTCCAAAACATATGATATTCTTCATTATGGCTGAATATATAGTACATTTTTTTTCAGTGCTGAGAATTTAAAAGGGTCTTAATATTAAATTCCATTTCCAGTTTCTTTATTGCTACTTGAGAGAGATTCTCATTGATCATTCATTTGGGCAGGGTGAATCTTACGTTGTCATCCTACTGACTCAGCTTACCAGAGTGCTAGGACTATCAGAAAGCTTCACCATGTTGAACCTTTCCCGCGTTCGCTTTATGAATAAAATAATGGATATCTAAGCTGTTTCCAGAGGTTAGGTGTTGTAATTTATTTCTAGAAGTCAGCTATAGCCATGTATATGCTGTTCTGAGCATGAATATGCATGTTATCAGTAAGCTATGAAAATTTTAAGTGCTTTCAAAATATACATAAAGAAGTTTGGCTGGATCAACTACATCCATATATTGATTATCAAAATAATTCTATTTTATGTTCCTATCAAGAGCACAGGAGGCACATTCTAAGAATTTAAAACATGAATATAGCCAATTCTCTGGTGGGTGTTAAACATCTATTATTACAACATTAGCATTCCTTTTCATTTTAAACTCTGCTTTCATGTTAGCAATTTTGTAGATAATGTATGTTTCATACAAATACACATATACGCTATTTTGAAGATGATTTCCTGTCAAAGTTCAAAATTTAGTCTTTTCATATATGCCTATACACAATACTTGAATGCAATTTCATACATATTCATGATGTAATTTATGAAACAAAATTATACCAATGTATGAGGCAGTGTCTCTCATTGTATATCACTAACTTAGCCTTTCTACACTGGGATATTTCTCTATTCAGTTGTGGGATTATACACAATCAGCCTGTATGCACATCTAGAGAATTTCTCTGAAGTTAAATAAATCTGAAACCCTCCTTTGAAGAGTTTCCTTGGTTGTAATAATTCTGCTTACATATCGACATTTGGAAAATATTCCTTTTCCTTATGAATGCAAGTTACCTCAGATTTCTTGGGCTACTTATGCATCCGTCTTCAGTTTGCTGGTTGTCCCAGGTACCTCCTGAATCGTAGCCATAGAAATAGAAAAAGTCACCATTTCATTATATAAAATTAGCAGTTAGATTAATGGTATAATATAAACAGATGAGATAGGCTTTAAAATACTTTCACATCTTATTTAATGAATTGGTACCAATCAGTAAAAATGAATGCTCTCATTATATGAGAAAATAATGGCATCCTTACCTATAGCAGTCACATTCATAAATGTTTCCCACATTACATCTTGGTAGAGCTTCTTCTGAGATGGATTCAGCACAGCCCACTCCTCCAGGGTGAAGTTCACAAGCACATCTTCCAGGGTCACTGCCTCCTAAATAATCACATATATATTTCCTGAAAGAAGGTTGAGACTCACACCCTGAGATATCTGAACTCCTCTAGTAAAAGCTGACTTGTGGTTCATTCTTTCAAATATAAACTCCATGTCTTGGTCACCAAACCCAAGAGTATGCAGCTATTTTCTTTTCTTTTTTTCTTTCTTTCTGGAACCGGGGATTGACCTCAGGCCCTTGCACTTGCCAGGGAAGCGCTTATTCTACTGAGCCATCTCCCCAGCCCCAATGCAACTATTTTTATACAGCAATTCTAATTCTAGATTCCAACTCATTACTACAGCAACAGCAGAATGGTAATCCTGGTTACCTGGTAGAGGTAACAACACAAGTTCTATTTGTTTAGTTCTTAAATCAGAGCTCATAGAGGAAGCCTGTAAACCATCCACAAAGCACAGTGGCAGATGAAAATACAATGACTGATTCTGATAGACCACAGATGACACCTTTTTACCAATCTATTATTCCTACAATGAAGTCATTTTTTCTTTGATGGTCTCAGGCTGAATTTTGAAATCTGAATCTGGTTTCATGGAAAATCTTAATTAAACATTAAGCTTTGTGAATAATAATTAAAATGCTAATGCAAGGACAGTATGATTATAGCAAGTCTAGGGGTGCCACATTGTCTTATACAATGTTGTGTCAGGGACACGAAATGAACACCTTCCACTCAGGCATAAGAAATTCTATTACCTGAGAGACTAGTGAAGTGAATAATCTGAATGAAATACATTAAACACACTAAGAATGAAGAGATCACAAAATAATTAGACACTAATGACAAAAGGAAAACTTCAGCTAGGTGTGGTGGGTACCTGTAATCCTAGCACTTGAGAGGCTTATGTGGGAAGATTGCCAGGAGTTCAAAGTCCAGCACTAGCTATGGAGTAACTGCAAGGCCAGTCAAAATTACAAAGTGAGACCTTGTATCGGCTTTATCCACAAAAAGGAAAACTAAAATTATTTTGTCACTTACAAAACACACCTCTGATCTGTTTAAAAAGTATAGCTATTCAATATAATAGAAAAAAATATATAATAGAAAAAGCAACACCATTCAACACCTTGTGAGGACAGTGAGAGTACACACAAAAATGTTCACATTCCACCTGTAATGACGTGGATGATTAGTAGAGAGAATGACAAGTGGACCTCGGGAAAGAACAACATCCTTCTGTAAACCCACATTTACACAGAATACTGATTCATGATGCAGCTGCTGTCAAACATCTCTAGAAGAAATTTCACTACATTTCGTTTAGGTTCAGGGAGAAACAGGTATGTACTTGAAAAACTAGACTGTCTACTTTGGTATTCTACATACATAAATTATATATTGAAATAGGAAAGTTAAGCTTGAATGTCTTTGGATTTTACAGTGAAATAACTTTTAAATATTAGAAAAGAATCTTCAAAAGAAAATGAAGGCGCCATCTGAGCAGAAACGGAAGTCTATGAAAACTATGGGAAAGAAATAAGATGAGAATAAAATATTTTCTATGTATGCAACTCAGAGATTTTATTTATTTATTTTTTTTAATTCTACACTTTATTCTTTTTTTTTTTTCCTATAAACACATCAGTTATGTAATTAGATTCTTAGTTCGAAATTTAGAAAGTAGCAAGGCACTGGGCAGCTGCTTTGGGAAAACCACTCTCCAGCCTCTGTGGCACCCAGTGAGGATGGTCAAGATGGTTCCGGGACTGACGACTGCTTGCACTTTCCTCATGTGCTGACTGAAGGGTTTCTTGCCGTGGCTCACCAGCTTTTTGGGCACATCTTCAGTCGGGTAGTATCCAGGCATTCCGTGAAGCTTAACCACCCGGTACCACCATTCTTCTCAACACCAACTGGTTTTGTGCTAGCAGCAAGAATCTCAAAGATTTTATATACAAAGATCCACTATCACAAACCTAAAAAAATAACTGCAACATAACGGACTAAAGGGAAACACTGAATATAAAACAAGGTCTACATCTTATTTGAGAAAATAACCAAAGAAGATTGAGGTGTGGGAAAAGAATACAATAAGACTTATGCAACAATGAAAATCCAACTAATATACTCCACACTTGTCTTTTACTTAGTTTATCAAAATTGAAAGACCAGAGACTTTTTCAATGTCCAAAGAATATATTGTGCTATTTTGTTTTTTAACCCTTGAGCCTCATGACCAATGGAATTGAGGAGAAAGCACTTTTCTTTCGATACACATAACAGCACCTGGGAATAGTGACGGGGAAAAGAACTTCCCAAAATAATTCTTTGTGCAATTCCTGTAATATTTACTGAAATTTCTGAGGGGAGGGGAGAATAACAATATTCATCACTATTCATGGAAAATCACTTACGGTAAAATTAGGTAAAGTTGCCAAAGGAGGAGACTGGTCATCAGTAAGGAAGGAAAGATTTGAGTCTGATAGTCTGCTTATCACCTATTACCCAAGGCCCAATGATGGAATGTTCTAAACACAGGATATTATGGTGCATATCCTATGACAACCTGGACAGGAGGTGTGCATATGTTGACACCAGTGAGGATAGATTAAGTAAGAAGCTACGCAAAGACTCACTAGTCTAGCATTGATTCAAAAAAATAGGCTGAAAGTATTTTAAACTGACGATTTTCAATTTGTACCTCTAGCTAAGGATTTTAATGATCAGATGATAATGCAAAAGGCAATTCTCTAGGAAGAACTCAGTTCTGAATGTATGTGCCACTAAATAGTGCATCAGACTACACAATGCAAAAACCATGAACGTAAGGGCAGAAATCATTCACTTGCAACTATGCCTGAGAACTTCAAGACATCTCCATCAGTAATTAGCTGAAGAAGGCAGAAAAATCTGTATAGTCACAAATAAAATCAATATCATTTATGAGGTATTGCATAATATTTTAGCATATGTAACTGTATGGTACACAGTCCTCTCTCTCAAAACCACAAGAAACACTCTCTTAGACCATTTTCAAAAAACATAACACCTTGAAGGAATGGAAGTCATGCAAAGCAAGCTCTTGCACAATACTGGAATAAAATTAGAAATAAATCATAGAAACATATTTAGAATATTCCTAAGAATTAAAAATTCAGGGCTGGATATAGCTCAGTGGTAGAGTGTTTGCCTGGCATGAACAAGGCCCTGAATTCAACCTCCAGTATCGAGAGAGATAACTAGTAGGGGAGGGAGGGGGAGGAATTAGAAATTCAATTACATGTTTTAAATGACACATCTCAAGTGAAAAGCCTGATGATTAAGGATTTCATAATGTACAAAAGTGAATGTACATCTAATTATTTTAGAGATCTAGAAATGAATGCTTCTAATGAAATTAAGGATAAAGTATGTACATATAGGAAAAGAACAAAGACAGCAACTTCTTAAAAGCAGAGAAAACAATGGCAATATAAAAATGAAAATCACTCCACAAATAGGCCATTTCACTGCTTAACATTCACGCAGATTATAAATACCAATAGAAAAATTACTGAAGTATAAAAGACATTACTGAAAACTTAGTCTAGTCTACTGCAATAAAATCTTGGACGTAAGTCTTAAAATTATATGAATTGACACAGACAAAACACAAGGAAACATTGGAATAGGACATAATCATTCAAACCTTGTTATTATTATTATTTTTTCAAATCTTGTTATTTTTTCACTTTTTTTTTTTTCTTTTTTCAGGGCTGGGGATTGAACCCAGGACCCTGTGCTTGCCAGGCAAGCGCTTATTCTACTGAGCTATCTCTCCGGTCCCTATTTTTTCACTTGTAAGAGGGAAAAAACACAAGGGGGAAAAAAAAACCCAATAGGGAGAGATTAATGAAACACAGAAAACTGTCTTCACTTGCATATAACATCAAAATATAAGTTGAAAAAATTAAATTGTTAAAAATTTAATAGAATTAATAAGATACTATACCATAGGGCCATTTCTAGCTAGAAATACACACATTTTTTATGGAAATATGTATCAGATATAACCAAGTGGGTTACAAACTGAAAACATTATACCATATGAAATCCACAGCATCACATTTTCACAAATGTTAAAACCACATATGAAAGAGCTGTAATAAGTACAAAGCCATAAAATATATTAAATTGACAACTATAAATAAAACTCATATTGGCAAACTACAATACAGCACATATCTTCAAAAATATTATCTAAAAAATTTGTATGTGAACAACTGAACAAATTTTGAATTTTTTATCTTCTGCAGACCAGTTGTTTTTTCTTATTTGATCAAAAATTCTAATTCAGTGTCACTTGCAGAAAAATCAACAGTAACATTTTTACTCACACCAACTCAGGGAGTGCAATAGGGGAGTGAAGTAGCTGGACTGTGAACATCCCTACAGTGCAGTGTCCACGAGGTCAACCAACAGAAACCTAGAATAATGTTTCCAATGTCATGATAATCACATATTAACCTCAATTCTTTTCTTTATTTAAACATATTTATTTAGTACAGGGTCTACAGGGTCTCTCTACACAGATAGGACTCATAGAGATCCTCCTGTTTTCAGCCTCCCAAGCACTGGAATTACAGTCACACACCACCACACTCAGTCTCAGTTGAAGTCTCAGCATGCCCCTGGGACAGGGCCAGTATGGCATGCCTGTGAGGATTGAACCCCAGTCCCTGCACCTGCCTAGCAGGTGCTTTAGTCTACTGAGATATCTGGCTGCCCCAACTTTAATTATTAACTTATTCCAATTCCAAAGTGTTGCAACCAAATAACATTTTTCTTGATGAAATTGTTATGGGTCAAAGAGCTTACAAAACTATCCTGAGGCCACCACACAAGGTAGTGACACGAAACAAGGGAAATGTAGTGGAGGTACATTCATCTCCATTTTGATTTTGTGGATGTTTAAACATAATTTATATAAATGCAAATAAATAATTACATCTCAACATTTCTTTGTTTCTTCAAGTGTAGTCAATTACACACTCAGCT